TAACCTCCTAGTGTTTGCCTCCAACCTAAACTTCAGGCCCAAGCCAACATCCCTCATTTTCATAGGTACACTATTGCACCATATAGTTACCATCATCTCATGTTGTCCATCTTTATTCCTAGTCCTTCTAATTAAATTCTTTGACACATTATGCTATCCAAATGGTTGTAAAGACTCAGGGACATCATTAAAGCTTCTTTTGGGGGTGATGTTCACTATGTTCGAAGAAAATGCTTGATCTTCCCACGCAAACATTCCAAAATTTCTACAATTGGAGTGTTGAGGAAGTGACCCTTCTTCTCCCATATTCTGTCAAGTAGCCACTTCATTACACTCCTCATCCACTAATGCCACATCATTATCTTTCTCTTTCTCGCCCCCAAATGCCATGTCATCATCTTCCTTACCTCCAAATGCAACAAGGGTAGAGAAATGCCTATATTCTTTTTGCATTGGTGTATCACTAAAGGAATTGAGTGACCAACTCTCATTCTCATCACCATTATCATGGGAGTTCCCAAATTTAACATTAGATTTTATTGAAAAAAGATTATTCATGGTTTCCTTGTCAACATATTTGATGTTGTAAATCTCCCCATTAATCTTCACAATAACCACCTTGCAAATTACCTCTAAACATGGGGTAGAAATTAAGAAATGAGCTACATTGAATCTCCTTTTGTTGCTAGTGCTATCATCTAGACTGATGAGCTTCCCCAAAAACATGTTGAGATCTTCAAAGAACTTCAAGCCCTAAGCATGTAAGGAACTCTTTGACAAATAATCCATGTGAATCTTTTAGTAGCTCCCATTCTTGGAGACTAAGGCCTCACATCATCGAACCAGGAAGCAAACCTATCACCTACATTTTCAACCAAGTATTGCAAGTCTTCCATATCTTGGCATTGCACTAAAACAAGTTTTCTCTCTGCTGGTTTCAAGGAAGCAAAAAATATGTTTCCATACATAACTTTTCTTAGAGCGTTGGGATAATTTCAATGGCTCTTGCTATACCAACATAACAACCTTGAACCCATGTATGCTCCTGTTCATCTATATTGAAAGTCCACCCCTTCTAACCATTACTTTGATTCATTGCAACCTACACTTTTTCCTTCGAGTTTCTTAAGTTTGGGCGCCCATTATCAATATCTATATTATTCACCTGTGGTCTTGTGCTTTGTCCTCTTAATATCTTAGCAAAAGAGACTTTCAATTGATCCACTAATCCTTTGAAGGTTGTACCCTTCTTAGCTCCTTGGATTCTAACTGTATTTGCTTTTGATTGGCAATCAAAATGTGGTTAATTCACATGTAACTTTAAACCCCCAATCTTGATTTGATCCAACTCTTTCTCAAGTGCCTTTACATTCTTTATGTCTTGGAATCTCACAAATCCAAATCTCCTACCATATTTGTCCTTTCTGTTAAGAACATAAACTTCCAAAAGTCTGCCAAATCTACAAAAAATTATCCACGTTTGGTCATGCATCCAATCCTTAGAAAAGTTTGTTAAGAAGAAAGGCTCTGCTTGGTTGTATGTAGCTCTATCAATTCTCCAATTTTGCTAACATTAATGACCTCTATCATGGTGGCTAGATCGTTCTCAACTCCACGTTGTTCATCTTCCTTGTGCCCTGGGATCTCTCTTTCTCTACCTCTCATCTTTCTCTCTCTAAAGTCTTTTGGTTTACAACAAAATAGTCAATAATTCACAAATATTTAAAAAAATTTAAAATTAACCACATTAATACACAATATTAATAAATAAATAAATAAAAACACAATTAATAATGAAAAATGAAATTCATTAAATAAATACCTCATTTATAACCAAAAAATAAATTAAAACCTCACATTTTAAATAAATTTTCTTGAAAAGTTAAAAAACACAAAAGTTCATCAATTATATATGTTGTGAGTAATGAATGAAAAACATGAAAAAAAAACTATTATTCATTTAAGTAGAATATTACCTTCAATTCACATATTATCTTTATAATCATATGTAGGAAATAATCAAAATCAATTACCATAATCTTATTAAAGAGAGAGCAATTTAAATTTAAGAAAATTAAGCCAAAAACTAAAAAAAAATATAATAAAGAAGTGAGAAAGAAGAAGAATAAGAAACACAAAAAAGGAGAAAGGACAAGAAAAGGAAATGAGAAGATGAAAAGAGAAAGGGAAAAGAGTGCAAAAACACGACACCACATTGTAGTGTCAAATAAATTATGAAAAATCTATACACTAGAAAATAAGGTGCCAATGTAAATTGAAACTTAATTTTTGTGATATGATGTCGAATAAGTTTTGTCTAATTTTTTAAAAAACTATATTAAAAATTCTACAAATTTTTATATAAAATTTTGGTACCTTAAAATTGAAATTTAATCCTATCCATAAACCATTATACTTGCCCTAGCTAGACATCAAGCTTCATATAATTTAACCCTAAATCATACTATAACCTAACCAATAATATTATAACATAATATATTACATTGAAACATGTATACCATAAAATTTCATATCCAACTTTAAACCCTAAAATTTTATCCAACCATAATCAAACCCTTTAAAACCTAACTTAAACCTTAAGTCTAAGCATCATACTAGCCCTAAACACTAAGCTTAATATAGCACCCAATATAGCTTATAACCTAAATGTAATAAACACTAACAATACTATGTCGTGTTAAATAATAATAGTTATGCAATGTCAAACATCCACTAATAAACTTACCTTTCAAACCCTAGATGATTATGTCCTAAACCATGTCCTCATACCTTAAACCCAACTTAACCCTAGCCTTAAGCATCATATAAGCCCTAAACACTAAAGTCGTTTATGCCATAAGCAAAATATACACCAACATTATAGCGGTGTCAAATATCCATCCGTAGCTTTATCCTTCAAACCTTAGACTTTTATGGCCTAAACTATATCCCTTATTCCAAACACCTAAATTAATCCTAACAATAATAATCCAACTTATTATTGATATTGTCTACTTTTGCCCATTAGATTTCACGATTTCAAAACATGTCAATAGATTTTTTTTTTTTTTTGAGTGGCAATCAATTATTTTATTAGTGAGTACAAGGGGTACTCAAACCCATTGACACCCATTGCATGTAATATGAAGCTTTTAGCATATTAACAAATTATGCTTTAGCAAAAGGTTGCAATTATCCTTTATGTCCTCCAAAATCCTTCTTGATCAACCTAGACCTCATGCATAATGCCAACTTCTATATCCAATCTAAGAAAGAAATGCCTCCACACTCCCTAACTGCCTACAACCATTGGTAGGAATGAGCTTAAACTAAATAAAATAGCTTGCCATTTTTCAAATGAGTACTTCTGATAAAGGTGTCATTTTTTCCAAGCTATAAAGTCCATGTGACTACAAACCATATTGTTTCCCAACTGCCACACCTTTGTCTTACAGACCTACATAAGTCACCATGTTGTTTGAGAGTGTCATGCTTGACTTATATTACCCAACATCTATCCCATGCTTTGTTGATGTGGGATTTGCTTGAGAGTGTCACATGCACCTTCTTTCACCACCATTCAAGAGGTCATGCAAGGTCACTCTAATATCATATATAATGACCCAGCCCATTATTGATATTATTCACTTTTTGACCTATTGGGTCTCATGGTTTACAATTCATCAATAAAAATTAATGAGTGTTAACTTTTATATACACAGCATATCTCCTATCTTTATCCACATGGGATTTGCTTGAAAATATGGACATATGAGAGCAATTATGTGTTGTGACAATTTGTGGATCCCGCCCAAATTATTTGGTGTCCAGATTTCAATTTTTGTGGGAAATTAAATTGAATTGTTTGGCAAATTATGGTAAACTATCTAATTGTGTTTTCATTTTGACTATAAGTTATTGGAGTAATACTATTTATTCACAGCGACTAGTAGATAGAAAAAAAACTATAAGGATTGATCAGTACACACTTTACTTCAATATATTGCATAATATACTTATTAAAAAATTATGATTTTTTAATGGTTTAAGTACCATTTTGGTCCCTCAACTTTTCACTTTGTTACCAAAATTGTCCCTCACCTATAAAAAGTACCAAAATTATCCTTGAACTTTCATTTTTGGTACCAAAACAGTCCTTCCATCAATTAAATGACAGGTGTCACGTTAATTTGCCAGCAAATCAATTCCTTTTTTTTTTTTTGTAACTAATGACATGGAAAAAAAAACATAGTTAGCCTATGAGTTGGCATTTTTATTTAATTTAAAAATAATAATATTTTCTTTTTTATCCACATCATCTCTTCTTCCTCTTTCACTTTCTCTCTCCTTTGCCTTTCCTTTTCCCTTACCTTTGCGAACCCAGATCTAGGATTTGGGTTTCTCTCTCAAACTTCATCTTCTTCCTCCTTTCCTCCTCCTTGCTCATCCTTCTTCTTTCTTCTTCTTTCTCTCTCTCTTCTCCCTCCCTTTTTTGAGTTCTCTGTTTAGGGATATTGCCTTTCCTTTTCCCTTACCTTTGTGAACCCAGATTTGGGATTTGGGTTTCTCTCTCAAACTTCATCTTCTTCCTTCTTTCCTCTTCCCTGCTCATCCTTCTTCTTTCTTCTTCTTATTCTTTCTCTATCTCTCTCTTCTCCTTTCCTCTCTCAAACCTAGATCTGGGTTTTTCTTAGTCATGTCATGTGTTTATTTTCTACACAAAATGATAATCCAAATGAAAGAAACAGTTTCCCATATAAAATCCACTGTGACGGAGAACCAACATTTCTATAACCCAAGTTTATAGCAGCAAATGCAAAGGCAGTCACCTCTACCACCCTAAGCTAACAATACCTTGACCGATCTGCTTTTCTCCAAGATATAATTAAAACGCAACCAAATTAACAACAAAATAAACATGTTATAATTCAATTAAATAATTGAGCAACTCAATCATTAGCTGAAATTTAGGTAGAACACAAAGCAGCATAGAACATTCAAGTGAATCAAACCCCAAGATTACGAGTAGGAGAATAAGAATTGTACCATAAGAATAACGAATCAATTCTCAGAACTATAAAATTTGTTGTGTAACAAAGACAGCAATCTCAAAAATTGTAAATCTTCAACTAGCACTGAAGAATTGTGGGGGATGGGTGGAAATGCAAAAAACCCTAGATTGGGAGTTAGATTGGGGGAAATCAACAAGATGGGTCCACGATTAAGGGTAATTGGAAACCTAACCGTCAAGATTTCATCGGAATCAAAGACTTGTAAATATCAAAGATTCATGCCAAACAAATGAAGAGCAGTGACAAAGCCGATGAAGCAGAGACTCATGACAAGGACAATGGTGGGTGAGATCTTCAAGCCGAGGGCATCGTCAATATAAAAGCACAACATGTTACTACCGAAGTCGGAGCTAACAGAGCTAGATCCCGACGTGGCTGAGCCTACAGTGAGCTTGTGACAACGCATACCAGCCGTTGCTGCCGCAGAGCCGCGTGGGGGCTATGACACCAGGCCTTGAGGTGGATGAGGAAGAGGCTTGGGATTGTGAAGAACCTCTTACCATTGTTTGCTACAAAAAGAGAACTCAAAAAAGGAAGGGAGAAGAGAGAGAGAAAGAAGAAGAAAGAAGAAGAAAGAAGAAGGATGAGAAAGGAGGAGGAAAGGAGGAAGAAGATGAAGTTTGAGAGAGAAACCCAAATCCCAGATCTGGGTTTGCAAAGGTAAGGGAAAAGGAAAGGCAAAGGAGAGAGAAAGTGAAAGAAGAAGAAGGGATGATGTGGATAAAAAAGAAACTATTATTATTTTTAAATTAAATAAAAATGTCAACTCATAGGCCACGTCATTAGTTACGAAAAAAAAGGAATTGATTTGCTGGCAAGTTAATGTGACACTTGTCATTTAACTGATGAAAGGACTGTTTTGGTACCAAAAATGAAAGTTCAAGGATAATTTTGGTACTTTTTAAAAGTGAGGGATAATTTTGGTACCAAAGTGAAAAGTTGAGGGACCAAAATGGTACTTAAACCTTTTTTAATTTGATATTAAAAGTAGATAAACTTAAAGATACAACCATGCATACATGACGTAGAAACTAATTGAATCGATTGTATTTATATTATATTTTTATGATATTTTAATAGCTAAACTAGAACAAGTGTTAAAAAATATGTTGAATTGAGTGTATATCAATTATTTTTTAAATTTATAATCATAGTGATTGATCTTTTTTTACTAAAACAGTCTTTTCGTTTTATAGAAAAAGTCCTTTTGTAAGTAAGAAAACTTTATTAATTACATTTTCCATTCAATATCAGTAATATTAATTTAATTTTTTGATTTAAAAAAATGTAAGTAAAAATCTAACATAATACTATATAAATGAAAATTGAAAATTTTTTTATTGAGTATCGTATGTAAAACTTTTGGACAATAATTGGTATATTTCCAATTTAACACAGTGCACAACATATTTATTAAAAAATTATTATTTTGTCTAAAATTAGAGATAGATAAATATATAGATATAGCTATATATATAAGATATAAGAATCAATTGAATCAACTACACTTATATTATATTTTAATAACTAAACCTAATGAGTGTCAAAAAGTGTGTCAAAATGGAGGGCACACCAATCATTTTTCAAAACTTTTGAACAAGAACTACTTATAGAAAAAAAAATTTCAATCATATTCATTCGCTATATTAAATTTTCAGCTAAAATTTTTGTTTAAGTCAAAAAGTCAAATTAAATTTTATTTTGAAAGGTAAAAGAATTTATTATTTAAGTACAAAGGGTATTAAGCCTATATATAATTAAAAATCAAAAAATTAAATTAAAACTCATATTGTTAAACAGATGGAGTAGAAGAATAATGTTAAATGGTCTTATAAAGAGATTAAATTTTTTTGGGATTAATCATTTAAGATTTACTAAACTTTAAACTTAATTTATAAGATAATAACTATTTATCAATAAATTCAACATTTAAAGTTCATAAAACATGATGTTAATTACATGTTCCTTTAATGTATCGTTTGTATATATTCTTTTGCATGTCATCAAGTGACAAATAAACGTAAAACTGGACTTGAATGTATTTCTGGCTGGCATGCTTTTGTCTTCTCAAGTAGTGTTGAATAATATTTTGTTGGAACAATATTATTCTTTCGCGCCGTGAAGCACGGTTAATTACTTCTTATTCTTTCATGCTATATTGTTTTCCGACAACTTTAATCTTAATTTACTAAAGAAAAAGAGGGTCACTACTGGATCAGATAAAAGACAACATTTAGGCATTTTACTTTAGTTTCCTACATTAGACTTTATCCTTACCTTTGTTGAGGGATGAATTTGTATGGTTGCAAAACCAATGGCATGTGTGGATCCACATCAGCAAGGGCCCACAATCCTCATTTCCCACATCAGACGTGTAGTTCATATTTTCTACTAATTACTGCAATGGAATTAGCATCGCCAGAAACAACGCTCATGCACTTCGTTGGAGACATCGCAGAATGTAATCTACTGCAGCATCTATTTTCACATACATGGCCAGACATGGCTAAATCTATTTTGGCGACATGGCTGGGCATTTCTTGATGGTCATATCCTCTGCAGTGATGTTCACTACTGTATCATGTGGCTCCCAACAATGGATAAAAAGCCTACTTTACTACATGGTTCCTATTAATGGACAACGGGGTAATCCTATTACACTCACACGGCTTCCGGCGATGGACAAAGGGCCAGATTTGCTATCTCATTTAGCATCCAGCAATGGAAGAAAGGTTACACATTTCTACATATCTTCATTTCACCAGCTCCCGGCAACGAGCAAAGGGTCAGATCTCTACATATTTTATCTCATTGGCTCTTGAAAATGGACAAATAGTCAACGCAACTCGATACAATTAGCGTGAGGCCAATAACAGTTGCAACCCTGCGATCAGACAAAATGGCTACCCTTCAACGATAAAAATCCATCAAGTAGCATGTCACGCCCCAGAACCCAAATCCGGGGACGTGGCAGACGCCGTGCACTTGTGAGGGAGGTCTCACAAATGCACAAGGCTCGGAACTTACTAAGT